AAAGAGTGTATAACCACATTTTTCCTCCTTCCCAGATTCTGGGTGACATGCAACCTGACGACAGGTACCCATTTTGATTGTGCTCTGCTGAATGACTTGTTCAGCTCTCTGGGTCACAGTTCACATCAGAGTGGCTGCCCCAGCACTCCACAAATTACAACAGCCAAAGCAGAATATCGGACAAGCCGGCACTGAGAGAGAGCGAGGCTGGCTCCAGGGCAAGAGCTGTGCTTGTGCTCAAGCTGCCCAGTAGGGCTGAGCTCCGTACTACATCACTGCGTGGAGCCTGCTGGCCTTTTCCAAAAGTGCTGCCGCCAATAATTTGAACTCAGCTCTTGGGGCTGGAGGAAGGAAATTTGCCACGTCAAGGCAGCATTGGGTGGGGTTTACAAATACACTTTGCAGAGAGTTTCATCAGCTGCAGGCTTCCCCTCCCTGAGAGGGGGAGAGAGCCTTTCAGGCAGCTCATAATGACGCAAGGTGCAGCTGTATTTGCATGTGCTATTTCGCCTTCATTTCTGAACTGCACTTACTCTACTTGCAGCCATTGAGACAGCCTGTGCTGGGAAGCTGCTATGTTGCTGTCAGTGGGGGTCTAATACTTCACAACACAGTTGTTGCAAGATTTCAGGAAGCACAAGCAGCTCATTCTGGTGGAAGCTCTGCTGGTAATCGGCAGAGGGAGGAATTATGGAGTCACTCCCATTAATGGCAGTCCTCACATTGCAAAGTGACAAGTTTCCCCAAAGTCTTCATGTAAAGAGAAGTAGCAACCAGTCTAACAGGGTTGCCTCACACTCCTGTGACAGCAGCATGTCTCATTTCCTTAAGCGTCTGGCAGGACCAGACTCAACAGATGCCACTACCTGACACAAAACCAAGTTGAGAACAGGCAAATCCCTTCAGTGACACAAGTCACCTCTACAGGGAAGCCCTTCTGCCTCTGCGTGTCCCAAAAGAACAACCTGTTCTCATGGAAAGAAGGCAGTCGCTAAACCCCTTGATAAGGTTGAAGCTATTTTTAAAAACAAACCACCGGCTAGATGTGTGCCCTAGAAAGCATCCCTTTAATTAGGCTCTGAGGGAATTTGTGGCTGCGAGGAAGCACCCGCCACAGCCTGTTCCGCCCACAACAGCCTGAAGTGCTGTGCTCAGGATGACGTGGCTGCCTGTCACCCCAGGCTGCACACCCAGGCTTGCTCAGATAAGCCAGGAGAGTGCAGTTGTAAACAGCGGCACACGTGCACTCCTTCCACACCACAGGATGGTATTTATAGGGCTGAATACAGGAAGCTTAGGAAGGGGTGAAGGGCAGCCTCCTCCTACCACAACCCAGTCCCAAGGGCAGCAGGGCAAGAGCCCAGCTCCATCCTTGCTCATTGTACAACTCAGCCAGCAAGCTCAATAAAACATCTTTATTCTGTACATTTGTATATAGATGCTTAGGGAACAGGGACAACCCCCAGAATTAGAAAAATTCAAGACAACAAAACAGCAATTATGAAGAGCATGGCACCAAGAACAGTCATGCCACAGATGGCAAGGAGGAGGTGAGACCAGCCATCACCAATTTCAGAGAAGGTCACAGCACCCCATGCCCACTTTGGGGCAGAAAACACCAGGGCTGCTGCAAGCAGCTGGAGTCTCCCCCATCCCCAGGCAGCTTTCTTTGTGACCCACTAGCACCAAAGGGAAGAGCTGGCTGGCAGCTGGGTCTATCCTTGCAGGCATGGGTGAAAGACCATGTCACCATAAAGCCCAGACTACTGTCAGGATGGGAAGAAAGGGGAATTCTGCTTGAGCAGTGACTGAGCCAGCAGCTGCTGTCTCACTGCTGGGCTGATGGGGGGAAAAAAGCAGATTTTCAGCTGGGTCAGTGCTCCCCCCAAGGGACAGCAGTCCTGTCACTACTGAGCTGCCTCTGAATCGCTTCATTGATACCACCATTTCACCAGCTTCCCCACGCCTCAGCATGCTCTTCACAAGGTGCAGCCGCCACCTCCCCACCTGCTACAGCCCAGCCCAGTGGAGAGCACCGCTTTGCAACACCCACAGATCAGCAAGGGCCGCTCAGCACTGCAGCAGGCACTGCCTCTGCCAGCAGCCCAGAAGCAGAACTTGCTCTCAGGATGGTAGAAAGGCTGTTTGGGTGTCCAAGTGCTATGACAGGCCCTTGCCCTTCTCTTTGGTCAGGGCTGGCAGGCCACCATGCCATGCTGCTCACAGCAGACACATTTGGTCTAATAGTCAACAATAAAACCAAAAGCCTATGTACAGCTATACAGCCCCTGCTGCACCCTCCAGGCTACACAGGGGAGCTGCACGACAGCAAGTGGGAGACAAACATGCTCCACACTTTGTGCGCAGAGTCCTTGCTGGCAACATCAGCTTTCCTCTGACAACAAACCCCAGTGGCAAGGGAAAGAAAAGAATTCTTCCTCCAGGAGAAACAGAAATAAAATCACGCCACTGTCAAATCACATCTAAACAATACAAGTCACCTGGGTTTTGTGTGAGTAATGCAGCCTGTCCTCATCACAGATTAAGGCAAGTGTGTGAGGGGCAGGCTGGGCTGGGACCTGGAATAGCCACACCAGGGAGCCTACTGCAAACCACTGCTGCCAACGTGCAGATGACACTGTCAACCGAACATCCATGGAAACAACCTGCACACGCCAGCACAGGCCCAGGCCCCACTCTGCTCCACAGAACAGTTCTCCTGCCCAGCAGCTGCAAGGAACAGATGCAAGCGCAAAACCTGCCTTCATGACTTTACATTGGGAGGCTGCGCTACTCGGAGCAGCCACAGCTTCCTGGGAGTCAGAAAGCAGGATGCTGAAGGAGTGTGTACATGTGAGTGGGGAACAAGACATTTGTCCAACAGTACGACGCTCAAGATTTGAGTAATGCAAAACCAACACACAAACGGACACACAGCAGATTAAAGCCAACCAAGATTAAAATGGTTAAAAAGTGTCCTGAATGCATTCTGAGGGGTTCAACCAAGCCCCTGCTGTGGCTAGCAGGGCCTCTTCCATCCTCTGCCCAGAAAGATGTGCTGCAGAGTGACTCAAGAGAGGATTGTTATCAACCCAGTGCTCAGAGAGCAGAAATGGGACCAGATCTTGTGTCAGAGACGGAAAAACATCACTTCACTGCTAGTCTCCAAGGGTTCTGCTCCTCCCAACCGGTAATTTTAAAACAGTAAACAAAGACAGAACTTGCCTGCCCAGGTCTGGTGGTGCCTCTGATCTATTCTGAAGGAGGGCAGAGTAATGAAAGCTGCAGGCCATGTGGAGAACATGCTTAACTTGCCCCACGTACAGCACTGAATGTGAGAAACTCTCCCAGGCTCCATCTCACAGTGTGGAGGAGGGACACCCACGCTAGAATGGGACAGCAGCAGCTCCAAGCGTCACTCAGAGAGCCACAGGAGCTTCCATCCTTCTCCCCGAGTGTTGGTGAATGGAGATCTCTCTGACCTAGTGGTAGTCAGAAGCTCAGCTGTCCAGGCCCCAGGGACTCCTCCAGGCCATTTTCTTTGGTGGTGATGGCTTGGAGGTCAGTGACATGCCCAATGCCTTTGGTGACTCCTTCACGGAAAAGCAGCTTGGCTCCAATCTTCAAGTATTCAGGATGCTTGATGAACCTGAAACGGACAACTGCCTTCTCTCCTGTCCGCAGCTTGTCCTGAAAAGAAAAAGGGGAGAGCTTAGACCCATCTACTATACCAGTGCATGCAGGAGAGTGCACGTGGATGCTAAGAAGATGAGACAAATGAGCAGGTTACCTCCCTTAGACTGCATGACTTGAGCCGTTCTCATTATTGTATGCTTAAGGGGAGACAGAAAGACACAAGCTCTGGAGAATGGAGACTTCACCTCCCTTCACAGTCTTCCTGTAGTCCATCATGCTGCTTGTTTTATGAGGGGGGAATTCTTTAACATGTTGGGAGGAAAAGCAACCAAATAGGCAGAATAAAGGGATGGAGTGTGCTCCTAGGAAGGGACACAGCTATTCAAGATACCAGTAGCCCCTAGCTTTACTAGAGGGTATGGTGGAATCCCAGCAAACCCCACAGGAAGGTCCACCTTCCTCCCATGCCTACCTTTCCATGGATCTTCTCTACGATAGCAGTCTGTCGCACATTCCCCACATGCACCGTCACCTGAAACCCCTTCCGGAAAGTTGTGGCATGGAACAACAACACGATCTCAGCTTCAAACACTGAGCAGATTGTGGGGTTCATTTCTGGGCTCACCATGACCATGCCCTGCACAATAACACAAAGCTCAGACCAGTTAGGGCCAGTCCCCTTGCTTCTGAACAGCCCCCAAAACCACAAACATCTCCACTCTGCGACTTTGGCTTGCATCCCATTCTCAGCCTTATACTCATCCTACTTCGCAGCCTGGCCATTTGCTTCCAGCAAGTTTCCTGCAAACACCTCTACTTCATCCCCACCCTACCAATGTGGGACCTCTAGGGAAGTCTCCAGTTCTGCTCACTAGTGAGCAACCTGACAACAGCAGGACTCACCTTGCGCAGCAGGGAGCGGTCAAAGGGTCCGAGGGCCAGTGTGGCTGCCTGCCCAGCCCGCAGCACACGGCAAGCAGAGCGGTTGCGTTGGATACTGCACACTTTCAGCTGGAGAAACTTCCCATCATCTGTGGGACCAACCACCAGGTTCTCCCCTTCTCGGCAGATCCCACTGCCCAGGGCAAAAGAGCAGGACAGAGTTCATCAAGAGACAAGACATTTCACTCTCCAACATCAACCTACACAAACTCCCCAGGGCCAAGGAAGTGAGTGTCCTTGGACTCTTACCTGGGACAAACTAACAGGGATGCAAACCTGGTGGGAAAAGGGATTTCCTATAGTAGGAATGAAAGCCACACTATTATTCCTAAGAATAGCAGGTACAGACAGGGGCCATTCTGTCCACAGTGTTCTGCCACACTGCATTGTTTCTGCTGGAGAGATTGCAGTTGATGCCTGTTCTGTGTGGATACACTGGTAGCCAAACTGCTCTGATCACTCCCAAACACTGATGGACAGTTGCCTTCTCATGGGGTAGCATGCAGTTAACCTCTGCTGGGATCGGAGGACTTGCCCTCTACATTTCCTCCCCCTGCTTGAGGAAGGAGGAAAGCAACGCCTTGGTATCATGGCTAACTTCTGCCGACTGAGGGTCCCACCATGCCTTCCTTGGGCACACTACAGGTCACATTCCTAATCCAGCAATTTTAGAGCAGACTCTGTGCTTGCCACCACATGAGCAATGGTCTGCTCATGGCATCTCCCAACACCCTGTAGGGCTTTACCGTCACTTGGATCAGTCATCTGGCAGCAGTCAGGACTGAGCCTTGCACTGCTTCCACATCTGCAGCGAGTGACTCTAACCTTGTGGGAACTCCAGCAACTATTCACACCCACACTTGTCTGCCTGGCCTCACTTACCTTGACAGAGTTCCTCCCACAACAGTCCCCACCTCTGGCACAGTATAAATTTCATCGACCTGCAGCAAGGCAACAAGAAAGAATAAGGGGCTCAGATAGCTGTGAAATAGCACTCCAGAATGAGGACAAGGTGCCCACCCCTTGTGTGGAGGGAGGTGAGCTCTCTGGTGGTCATAGACACCATCTTGGAGCTTTCACCAGCTGCCACTACTTTCCCATTAGAGGAACCTCTGCCTTTTAAGTGGCAACCAGAGAAACAATCTTAACCCCAAGATGGGCATCCCTTGGTTAGGACAGAGCCCAGGTTAACAGGCTTTTTTCAGGGACCAAGTCTTTTCTTTACTTTAATGTCTCCCAATAGCCCAGGAGTTCATCACGTCTCTCCCCATAGTGTCCAGGTCACCCAGGTGTTTGTCACACGTCACAGCAATGACTGCAGTACCACAACTGGAAACAAACTACCCTTACGCACCTGAAACTCTGTAAGTTGCTGCATTAGTTCTTCCTGCTCTTTACTGTTGGTCAGTGGAGGGAGGATATTGAGGAAGACTTTTAAGAGATCCAAGTTCTCCCCAGAAACACTGGACAGTGTGAAGATTGGGGTGATGCTGTTGGATACAAATAGACAGGAATAAGCAGAAGGCCAGACCACAGCTGCAGAGGGTGGCTGGGATTCTGAATCAAGTCCAGCAAGAGGACAGTGACTACAGCAATAAATGGCTAGAGCAGGAGGGCACATAGGCTACGTACAACTCTGCAGTAACTCCTGCCTCAATGGTTCATTGAGGCACCAATCCCCTGCCAACCCACACTTCTGTCATGGAGAAGTAACTCCTGTGCAGCCACAGGCACCTTCTGCTCCCAGAGCCCAGAGAAAGGCCTGGGAAGGGAGGGGAAGATGCCTTCGTGGTGAATGCAAAGGTAGGAAACTTGATGAGGAGCAAAGATATTCAAGATGTGGTCGCCTCCCCTGTGGTCGCCCTTCCCCAGCTCCATACAGCAGCCCAGTCTGAATTGCCTGCTCCCAGCAGAAGAAAGGAATGGTCCCTTACTTGGGAGACTGTGCGAACTGCTGTGCTGCTGTAACAGCATCGTCATCTGAGTTCACAAGCAGGGGGAGCTTGTTGCAGCCTGGCTGCTTCAAGATTCGCTCCAGCTGCTTCACTGTCCGTTCCACAGTGGCTTTCGAACACAAGTCAACTTTGCTGATGACAATGAAGAAAGGGACCTTGAGGGCCATGGCCAAGCCCAAGTGCTCTCGCGTTGTGCCTGCTGCAGGAGACAAGTGAGAGTGTAGGTGCAGTAGCAGTCATCACTGTTGCTTGTTTATGCGACAGCTATGTTGCCTGGCTCTCCCACAGGCCCACTCTAGAGATTTCACTCTAACTGCTTGGTTCATCAGGCAATGAAAAAGCAAAATTATTCTTTTAAACAAAACTAAACATCAGTCCAGAAAAATAAAAACCACCAAGAATTTTTGTGACTGATCTGTTTGCTTCAGGAAGATGCAGTAGTTTTCATTCTTGGGCTAGTTTGCCAGAAAACAGCCACAAAAATGTCAAGGAAAGATGTGGGAGAACTCCAGCTGCCTTTTTACAAGGCTTAAGGATTCAGCACTCCTAAGAATATGTCAAAGTTGTTTGTTTTTTTTTTTCTGACAAACACAGCCTCAAATTCCAAACAAAGCCTCTCTGTCCATGGTACAGTTTAACACGGTCTACAGCATCTAAAGAGTATCCCAGATCTACTGCCCTTCCAGGCACTCATAGGTACTGGCTTACAAGAAATCAGTAGGGGCTTCCAGACTAATATTTTTTTCTGACAATCCTTCCCAGCTAACAAGGACCCACTCCTCAATTCTCCATTTCTCTTCACACATTGCTGTCAATCCATGCAGGCAGGGCAACACTCACCAATGCCAGTGTTGGCGCTAACCACCAGCATAGCAAAGTCTGGGCAGTAGCTGGTGAGGCCAAAGATGGTTGTTTTCAGATACTTGTGGTGGCCAGCCAGGTCAATGAAAGTGATCATTTTGGAAGAACTCTCACAGATCTCTTCTGCTGTTCGGGAGTCACTGTAATTTACCACCTGAGGAACATAAGAACTCGGTGAGAGAAGGCAGCCTGTCAGGCAAGTGAAGAAAACCCAGCTCTTCTCTATCCCCTTTGACCTCAGAATTAGTGAGATTGTTCACCATGGGTGCAAGAAATGACATCTGTTGCAAATGGACAAGTAGCACTCAGGTTCAGCTGTGCCACTGTGACATTCAGAGAGTTGTACCACCTCTCTTCCCTCATATCCCACTCAGTTTTAACAGGAGGGTAGTCCTATTCTCCTCCAGCTTTCTGAGTTCAACAGCCCACTTTCTCACCTCTCCTTTGCTGTTGAAGCCGAGGATCTCAAAGCTGATGCTTGACGTTCTTCCTGACTGGATTTCATGGAGATGCCGGAAGAGGTTGAGGCGTGCTCTGCCCCGCCCGTTGTCCAGCTCTCCTTGTGTTAGGACACCCAACAAAGTTGACTTCCCTGAGTCGACATTCCCCAGCACAGCTACTCGGAGGTCTAAGAACTATGGGAAGAACAGAGAAATCATGAAACTTCACCGCTGCTGTGCTGGATGTGCGTGAACACTACATGGCACTGGAGATATGCCTCAGAGAGCTTCCCTCCATGATGAACACTGTGCAGTGTAATCATCCTCAGATCCTGCTCTTGCTGCCAGCAAACCACTGCCCAGGAGATGTGATACAATCTAGAGAGTTGTGATGTGACCATCAGATTTTGATATTACAAAAAAGGTCATTCGCTGCAGCAGGACCTATAAATCCTTCCTTGTTTGCACATGGGACTGCATCAGAACTGTTGTGGTAGATGTGAAGTGATTTCTCACCTCTGATCCAGGCAATCTCCCCTACTGATATCTGCCTCAACCACAATCTTGGAGATGAAAAGCATTATCATCAAGCCTCCCTCTGGCAGCTCTTTAAAGCATCTGTTATGGGCCGATCTATGACAAAGTGCCTCTAGGGTTTGTGCGCCCATCCCAAAAGGAAGCTGCTTGTATGAAGCCTCTAAGCCTCTAGCAGGAGAGGACGGCCAAGTCGCAGGTCCCTACCTGCTGATTGTCAGGCACCTTTCGGACAAGCACCTCCGTTATCTTCCTTGGAACATCGCTGTCGTAATCAACCTCCCTCTCCCGCAGCACTGTAATGTCAGCCCCAACTCTGCCACAAACATGAAAGGAAAAGAGTGAGACACACTTGTACTCGGCAGCTCTTGCACCTCTAGAATCACAGCTGGCAAAGTGAATGGGATGAAAGCTGGGGATAGCAGGGAAGGAGCCTCAAGCTTCCAGCCAAAAGCCCTATAACTGCCTTCATATTTCCAGAGCCTCATGATGAGGGAATTTCAGTCATACAGGGGTTTTGTAGAATAGAGCCACCAGCTCCTCAGGGGACTCCTGGGGCCAAGCCTCTCTCCTGGAGGCTGTTTATGCCTGCAGGTCCTGAAGATGAAAGGGAACACGTACTTCTCTGCCATACGGCGCAGTGTCTTGAGCGAGGCACGCATCTCCTCCTCTGAGAGGCCAACCAGCAGCCCGTTGTCCTCCACACCAATCTGATAGACGGCCTCACCTCGGCCTTCCTGTAGTCGCCACTTCATCTGTGTCACCAGGTGCTCAAAGCGATATTGTGAGGGATTCACTAGCTTTAGCTGTTTAATGGAGGGGGTAATTATAGTCACAGTCTGGAAGCAGAGGCAATCCCATTGCCCAAACTAGCAACTTCCTAACCCAACACCATGAAGCAATGCCCCCAACTCTGACCCACCTCTAGAAAACACAGCCCATGTTAAGTGTCTGCACAGAAGCCATAGGACAGCTCAGAAAGGATTTCACAAAGGTGCATATATATGGTAGAACAACTTCCCTGCATCTTGCCAAAGGGATCTTGTACCTTGCCTGCTGTAGGGGTAAAGACAGCACTGTGGGACCCATCTCTGACACAGGAACCAAGTAAGTGCAAATGGCAGAACAGCCACAAGAAAGTGACAAATTATTATCAGGGACACCTGCAGCTCTCTCTCAAATGGAAGATTTCAAGAAAAACACAGTGGGTCTTATCTCCTAAAACAGATTCCTAAAAAGGAGTATTGAGATCAAACACTTCAGCTCAGCATACTGGGTATTGCTAGGCACAGAGACACAGAAGGTGACTGATAGTTTCTCAGTTATATTGTCCACTTTTCTGTCCTTTCCTTGGACACATTCCACACGTGCTGTCTTTGGTGAAGTTACTCACTGCAAAATAACCCTCTGGGAGGAAGACCTCCTGCAACCTCAAAAGGCTCACCTTGTACTCGATGTTCCCATCTTCTGCCTGGTCAGAGAATGAAACAAGACAGAAAGGTTAGATGCTGTGCCAGCAGGGTCTTCTATAGGCATCAGCTGCCCAGATACTCTGCAGCTCATGCTGACAGTTTCATAGAGAGGGAAAGTGGCAGAAATATACTATGTTAGGTCACAGTCTCTTCTGCCATTCATTCCTACACTCAACTGGAAGTTACTTTAGGTTTGTTTCTGCTGTTTGCATCACACATCATGAAAACCAGAGGACAAAACTAGAGGGACATGGGAGCGAATACTGTTTTTTGGGGATTTTTTTACTGACAGTAAAAAATAGGGCCAGTCTAACAATCACAGAGACTCAGTTCCAGTTTCAAAAAGGCACAGGCCAGCAGATGATTAAAAGTCTCCCCCCTCACCCATCCATGACCCACAATGCCACACACAGCATCCCACTCCCACCCTATCGAGCAGCTTACATCCACCCAATGAGCACAGAAACAGGGGACTGGGAACAAAAGTCTCCTGTCTCTGCTCCTGCACACTGATACCCTCCCTCACTCAATTAGTTTTTCATTGACTCCTTTCCATATCCTTGCATATCTTCTCTCTGCAAGACAGGAGGACTACAGACATAAGGAAGCAAGGTACTGACTTCTTTGCAGTACAGCAAGCTGGTCACTGTCCTGGCAGTTCTGGAGAACCAGGCCTGATTGGGACTGTCAGTACATAACATGCTCAGAAGAACTTTCCTAGGAAGGGCTGGAGCCAGACTGGGTTGTCACAGAAAGACCCAGGTACTCATCAAGCTCACTCCAACAGACTCCAGCTTTCCAAAGAGAATGTATACACAATATTGAAGTAATTCCTCCCTGATTCAGTCTAAGGACCCCTGAGAAAGGGCTGGAGCCTGCAGGAAGCCAAGTACTCCGGCAGACTAAATGGGGCTGCCAACACTAAGCACTTCCTTTTCCTCTGGACACCGATTTGCATGTCAGGAGAGGCAATAGCCCTCTCCTTGCCTTCTAGCTCAGCTCCTAACCACAGCGGTGCTTGTGGTGGCAAAAGGCCAACAGAGGGAAGTTCTGAATTGTCAGCTCAGCTCTCGGGCAGCGGAGCTAAGCAGTGAGAAAAGGGTACTTGTGGAAGGTTTTCCTCTCTTACCATCTACCAGCTTTCCAGCTCTAAGAAAAACACATTCACATACTGTGCTGTTGTCTAAATAAGGGGGTGGGTCTACTTCAAGGCAGCTGAGTCTAGAAAAGCAACAAGCCTAGACTTGCTGAGCCACATACTGCACAGGGTAGCCACGGACAGGAAGCTGTGCTGAAACCACAGGGGGCTGTCCAGCCTCCATCTGAGAGGAACAAAAACTAAACTGCGGCTGCAGGGGACAATCCTGCCCGTGGCGAAGATCTAACAGTAGCAAAGAGCTGTTTTTCCTTCTTGCCAAGAGTCACAGCCCTGCCTTGTGGGGGAATTGCTCCCTCCCAGCACAGGCTTTTATATATTTTACAGAAAGCTCACTGAGTGGGGCCAAGCAATTGACTCTGGGGCAATGTAATGCTCCCCACAGTGGCAGTCCTATTAGTGTGGTGCCAACTGCCTGAACTAACCAACACACCCACTGACTACCAATACCATTTTTTCCTGTTGCAAGAGGCAAGTGCCTCACATTCTGTCAGTACCATCTGCATCTCTATGTAAGAAAACAGTTGCCAAATTAGTTGGGGAGTCACTGCTGAGCAATGTCTATGAGTTTGGCAGCTGGAAAGGGACTTACACCCACCAGCTCGGCTCTCAGGGAGAGATGCGAACAGTATGCTTGGGACTATGAGTTGAGCAAAGCTTTATTTCCGAAGCTATTTAGTTCCCAGACGGCAAAGCACCCACAGACAGATGACACGAAGCAAGACACTACTAATGGACAGGGTTCAGTGGACCACGCAGGGTGCTCGCTGGCACTGGGGACACAAGCACTGTGCGCTGCCACGTCAAACCCCGGAGGAGAGACCGGGGCTGGGGCTGCACGACCGCCCGTAAGGCTGCCAGCCCAATCCC